CAGACAAAGCGGCGACTATATGCTCACCCTTCAGGCAGCATAATAAATAAACCAGGGCTTATTTCTTTTCAAGTTATGAAATGGACAAGGATATCAAGCTGTTAGTACATATGTACTGATCAACCGGATGGTCCCCATTTTTTAAATGGGGGAGGGGCATAAATAAGGGCCATAACTTAGTCAAAATTAATGTTTAACCAGGGCCGGCAAAATGCTACCCATGCACCGAGTTTAGTGTCAATAGGTCAAAGCAAACTCAAGTTATTGAGCTAAAACTGAATTTCTATCTTTAGCAACAGTGACCTTGATCACAGACACCTGGGTAGCAATCCCAAGCTGCCTCTTGATATAAGCTTCCCATAAACAAGTTTGGTGTCAATAGGCCAAAGCAAATTTAAGTTATTGAGCAGAAAGTGAATTTCTATTTTTAGCAACAGTGACCTAGACCGTGATCACAGACAGCAGGATAGCAATCACAAACTGCATCTTGATATTAGGTATCAATACACCAAGTTTGGTGTCAATTGATAGGCCAAAGCAAATTTAAGTTATTGAGCGGAAAGTGAATTTCTATTTTTAGCAACAGTGACCTAGACCGTGATCACAGACAGCAGGATAGCAATCACAAACTGCATCTTGATATTAGGTACCAATACACCAAGTTTGGTGTCAATAGGCCAAAGCAAACTTAAGTTATTGAGCAGAAAGTGAATTTCTATTTTTAGCAACAGTGACCTAGACCTTGATCACAAACACCTGAGTAGCACTCCCAAACTGCCTCTTGATATAAGCTTACTATACACTAAGTTTATTGTCAATAGGCCTTGGCAACCTCAAGTAATTGAGCTAAAATTGAATTTCTTTTTTTAACAACAGTGACCTTGACCTTGATCGCAGACATCAGGGTAGCAATCCCAAGCTGCCTCTTGATATAAGCTACCCACACTGACACACCAAGATTGGTGGGCCAAAGCAAATACAAGTTATTGAGCGGAAATCAAAGTTGACGACCGTCCAATGCTGACTTCGGCATTTCAATAACCCGGTTTTCGTTGAAAAAAAAAATGATAATCATAACAATTGTACATAAATAATGTTTAGGTATGAAACATTAAAAATATGAAATGAACTGGGTAGGAATATCGCTTATGTGATTATACTTGGTTTTTATTGTATATCACTTATCAATATGGAAGCATCCATTACTGTCTTTGTTTACCTTTAAATTTGCTTATTTTTGAGGAAATTTTCAGAGTTATTTTTGGAATTTATCAGTCATGACATGGAGCTAAATATAAGACGGAGAAGAAACTGTGATGTCACACAGTTAAAATCAGTATCAGCGGAATTGTGTTCCCCCAAGTTATATGTCATGAGATTTTGCAAGATTTGATTCATCCTGGGTAAAAGTAGCCAAAATACCGCCATATTAAATTCCTGGAGGTACATCAACAAAAAAGACTTAACATTTTCTACTTATACAAGAATTTGTAACAGAGTTACCAACGTCCACTGCCTCGGGAAGTTTTATATGAAGCATAAAATTGTGCTATTTCAAAAGATTGAGGTATAGATCTCAGGACATTTAGTCCAAAATTATGATCAATGCTAGATCTGCAAATGCAACAATAAATTTGTTAAAACTAGAAATGTGTCATCATGCCACGGATGCCCCCGCATGCAGCCAAAATTTCAGATGTTATAATATTTAGTTCCAAATTTGTTTGCACAAATAATTTTTTTCATTTTAAGTTCAAAGCCCTTAAAACTTTTCAATGTTAACACAAACCATTTTCATACAATGTTCAAGGCACTGAAATTATTCAGTCTAAACCTTTTGAAAATAGCATATTTCATATTTGTAGCCAAAATAATGGGCATTGGCTACATACATTTCAGTGCTGAAACTGAAAGTTCAAAATTTTTACAACATTCAAGAAAGATAAGTTTGTCCAAAATCATTGAACCACGACCAAATTCAAACTTAAACTGCTTATTCCTAAGATGTATCTATATTATTTTCAAAGTGAAAGGGACATAACTCTGCCAAAAAGTCATCGAACCATGACCAAATTCAAACTAGACTCCCCATTCCTTTGACATATCCATATGTCAAATTTGAGTAGTTGGGTAGATAATGAACAGAAACTGTAAATTTCATATTATTTTTAAAGTGTTAGGGGCATTACTCTGCCAAAAATCATTGAACCATGACCAAATTCTAACTTGGCCTGGGCATTCCAAAAATATATCCATATGTCAAATTTGAGTTGAATGTGTTGTACCATTGGGGAGATAATAAACAGAAACTGAAAATTTCATATTATTTTCAAAGTGAAAGGGGCATAACTCTGCCAAAAATCATTGAACCATAACCAACTTTGAACTTGACTTGTGCATTCCTGTGATGTATCCATATGTCAAGTTTGAGTTAAAAGTGTTGTACCATTGGGGAGATAATGACCGGAAACTGAAAATTTCATATTATTTCCAAAGTGAAAGGGGCATTACTCTGCCAAAAATCATTGAACCATGACCAAATTCGAACTTGACCTGTATTTTCTCACGACATATCCATATGTCAAATTTGAGTTGAATGTGTTGTACTGTTGGGGAGATAATGAACGGAAACTGAAAATTTCATATTATTTTCAAAGTAAAAGGGGCATAACTCTGCCAAAAATCATTGAACCATGACCAAATTCGAACTTGACCTGTATTTTCTCATGACATATCCATATGTCAAGTTTGAGTTGAATGTGTTGTACCATTGGGGAGATAATGAACGGAAACTGAAAATTTCATATTATTTTAAAGTAAAAGGGGCATAACTCTGCCAAAAATCATCGAACCATGACCAAATTCGAACTTGACCTGTATTTTCTCAAGACATATCCATATGTCAAATTTGAGTTGAATGTGTGCAACCCTTACTAAGATAATGAACGGAAACTGATGATGACGGAATGACAGAATGACGGAATGGAGGAAGGACGGAATGACGGAAGGACGGAACAGGGTAACACTATATGCCCCGGCCATTACATGGCGGGGGCATAAAAATAAAATGAAACATGTTAAGCTTTGACCTCTAAGTGTGACCTTGACCTTGGAGGTAGGGAAGCAGGTGTTGTGCATGACATAACGTCTTATTATTGAGACTATTTGTTCCAAGTATTTTAAAAATCCCTTGAACTATGAAGAAGTTATAGATTGGACACAAAATATACCCTATAACAGACTATGTAAATCTTTGACCTCTAAGTGTGACCTTGACCTTGAAGGTAGGGACACAGATGTTACGCATGACATATCATATAATCATTATGACTATTTGTGACAAGTATTTTCAAAATCCCTTAATCTATGAAGAAGAAATGGACTGGACACAAAATATACCAAATAACAGACTCTGTTAACCTTTGACCTTTAAGTGTGACCTTGACCTTGGAGGTAAGGGTGCAGGTGTTGTACTTGACACATCGTCTTATTATTGTGACTATTTGTGCCAAGTTATTTCAAAATCCCTTGAACTATGCAAAGTTCTAGATCCCACACAAAATATACCCTATAACAGACTAATTTTTCACCTCTAAGTGTGACCTTGACCTTGGAGGTAGGGATGCAGGTGTTGCGCATGACACATCCTCTTATTATAGTGACTATTTGTGCGCATTATTTTCAATATCCTTTGATCTATGAAAAAGTTATGGACCGCACACAAAATATACCCTGTAACGGACTATGTAAGTATTTGACCTCCAAGTGTGATCTTGACCTTGGAGGTAGGTGGCCAGATTTTGCGCATGACACATCGTCTGATTATTGTGAATAATTATGGCAAGTTTTTACAAAATTCCTTCATAGATAAGAAAGTTATGGACCGGACACGACATATACCCTCAAATAGACAATGTTGACCTTGAATGAGCAAGTGCGACCTTGACCCTGGAGGTAGGGGTCTGGTTGTTGCGCATGACATATCATCTTATTATAATAAACATTTGTGCCAAATTATTTCAAATTCCTTTCATAAATGACAAAGTTATGAACCTGACACGAAAGTGTGACAGACGGACGGAGCCTATTTCTATATCCCCCTTTTTTCTTCGAAAAGGCAGGGGGCAATAAGAAGCAATAGTTATTTTTTCTAAAACATACAAAACACACTTTTCCACAAAAATATTTCTCAGATGAAAATCCATGTCGGCAATGTAAGCAATTATTCATGGATATCGCCGAAGTTTAACGATAGCATGAAAATCGCAGACTAGCGGGAAACCCTGATTATCACCGAAGCGCGCAAAGGATTGTGGGTCTGAATCGGATTAACGTCTATTTTCGGAGTTTCCTATCCATTGTTTATATATCTGTGGTGATGAATTGGGAAATTTGCTGTCTATTTTCTATTGGGAACGGTGCCGTTTTCCGGTATCAGTTATATAAGGAAAAAAACTCTGAGTTATAAACGACATGGTATCTCATACACTTGTAAGTTAATTATCTGGTGCCCATGACTTAGTATCTCATGACAGGGGCGTAGCTTGAAAGAAACCAATGTGTAGGCACTTGTGTAAGGGGGGTTCGGGGACATGCTCCCCCGGAAAATTTTGAAAATCTACATTGCCATAGCTGCATTCTGGGGTATGTTAAGCCATGTTCTGAAGGAAGAGTATTCAAATTTTTGCTGAGTTTTGGTTACATTTTTTTCCATCAATTTAAAGATGACCATACTTATATCACTAACTCAGAACAACTTTATAACATGGCAACACTTTCGTTATGAAATAAACTCCATATAAAGAGTATAACACTCGATTGGTGGCATGTAATGTTTTAATATTAGGACCTACACATCTACCGCACTTACCCTTAAATTTTTATGGCATTTTTGTAATAATTTATGCATGAGCATGATTTTATCATCTCATGTGCATAACTTAATACATGCGCACAAGATATATTTAAAAGTACACATGTCACCTGTGTGCCACCATATACAGTCTATGATGCGGTTCCGTACCACTTTTGATTATTTGTCTGCATACAGCATGAAACCTTTATTGTTGGAGAAAGTTTGGTCATTTTTGTTATAACAAATCTTTCTTTTACCTTTCTGAAACGGTTTAAATTAAATCTGATGTAAAGAAGAATGTAAATTTTGCTCGACTCCGCTGTAACCAAACGATGCATTTCCGTGACCTCGGATGCAGTTCCGGATGTGGCGCCCTCTTTGATATTATTTTTAACCTCTGTTATTGGGGGGCATCTCAAAATATTATTTATCTATCAAAACATGTTTACAGACAAACCAGATTAAAATTAGTCCTGTTTCAACTTTAAATACCACTTGAAGTTAGTGTTCTCAGTTGGACTTACATTTGATGATAAAAAAAGAACAACACAAAGATAAATTTAAATATTCCATAGCTTTCTTTTAATTCTGGAATATTACCACAAGTCCAATAATGAACAAACTTCCTGAAAGGACTGCAGTTAAAATACTGTACCACCTGTGGGTTATTTGAACATGAAAATAAAATACTGTACAAATATCACAACTGCTTGTTGAAAATAAATATGAAAATAAAAATACTGTAATAATACCTAATATGCATGTTGAATATCACAACCTCAACCCGTTTGCTGACCATTAATTACACATGTATGGAGATAATTAATCTCTAACCAGTCACATGCAACATTTCTTTTTAATATAAAAGCAACAAAATAAACATTTTCTTAAGAATTAACCAGCAGACTTTCTCTGATCTATAGGTATGTCACAATTAAAAACATAGAACAAGTGACTATCCACAAAGATAATTACACCAGATGTTAAAAATAATGCAAAATCAACTGCTTTCAAAAAATATGACAATGATGGTCTTAATTGCTCACTTTCAGCTGTAAATTTAGACAGATTAAAGTTATGTTAATGTTATACTACATGTTAAATGGAGGTATGTAAATTGTAGATATTAATCAGACTACCATGGTTTGCACAAACTTTGTACAGGTCAACATGTAATTATGAGATGAATACCATGGCGACAAGTGTGTATGCAAAAAATATTTCACCACAACACAAGGGATACCATTCAAAAGTTTAAATGAAAAATACTATGTGGTTAAGGCTGTCCTTAAAAAATAGTTTGTTTGCAGTAACGCTACCTACTCACCAAAATCATCCCCTACCCAAAAGCTTTTTTTAGCCCATTCCTTCTATACTTATACCCAAAAATTTTACAGGCTTTCTAAAAAATATACATATAAAAAAAAATCAACCTACTTACCCAAACTAAAAATCTTGGGTCGTGTTACTGCAAACAAACAATTTTTTAAGTGTGGCCTAAGGAAAATGAAAGGTTATCACAATAGCACCACTGAGCTAAACTAAAAATGCTACATATATATACATATACAAGTTTCAAGATTTTAAATTGTTGTGTTGATATCAAAATGAAACAGTCAGCTTTACGGTTTTCTTTACATTAGACTAACTATTTTGAACACCTCCTTGTTACAGTCATGACTGTTTTCTCTTCCATTTCCTGTAAAGCATTTCTAATAAGAGCTGTGGTTGTAGAAACATCCTTGCACTTAATTATGTAACTACAAGGGATGACAGCACCACCACCAGTCTCATGTGGTGCTGGCCAAGGTGGAAAACTTGGCCGGGGTTCACCAGTTACCTCTGCATATATTAAATCCTTTCTGTCAAGTATCTCACGAAAACATCCACCTAAACCTCGTGGGACATGACCTATCGGCAGGCCAGCTATATCATTAAGTTTCAGCTTGCGTGTTTTGTCTGTTTCTAATTGATGAAACTCACTTTTATACTCCTCTAAACCAGGCAGCCATACCAAGCATGCGTTTATGTCATGAATGTTACAATATTCTCTATCTACAGTTAATAAGGGGGCATCATCTATCATTGGAGGTCGAATTTTGAAGGAGTGATAGCCTTTAATTACACACTGACCTACCAACACTTCTGTACATTCCTCATTTTTTTCATTTGGCACCTACAAGTTAAAGTATATATATATTTATTCATATATCAACATTAAATTGTATAAGGGATTTATCAAATAGCAAACTTCTTTAGTTTTTTTTTAAATACAGCTGAAAGAAACTAAAATTTGTTTGAAAAAATAAGTTTCCCTTTGCACTGGTTTTATCTGGATACATAAACATGTTTTGATTCAAATAAATTTATCAGAAATTTATACCTTTTCTAAGAAATCATCTTTTGAAAAAATGCAAGTATGAAATATGAATTTGTAATTTTTTGGTAGAACAAATTTGATTTGGTTTTGGTAAATCATTCTTACATTCTGGACAGCAGAAAGGGTCATCACTTTCAATGTTAACTTCATTTAGACAGCAATCTGTATGTAGCCACTTATTACAGAAGTCACAGTTCACCCATATTTTTCCAAGACCAAGTTCTTGGTCTTCTTTCCAAGTCATGCCACAACCTTCACACTTCACATCATCTTCATTTTCTTCTTCTGTCTTTCCAATGCCTTTACTTGTACCAGCCCTTGAAAGATCAGCCTTTTTAGATGCTTTTGACTTAATGTTACTATGTTTAGATTTGCTTCTTTTACTACAGCTCGACTCAGCAGCCGCTAAATATTTAAGCTTTGCTTTTTTCTCTTTCTCTGCTTGAGCTCTGAGTTTTGATAAGTCACGTAAGGCCATTGTTCGAAGACATTCATCTGATGTAAGGTGGTGTGGAAGTTTATCTAATAGTTTTTTTGGTTGCATCTTGGTTGTTTTTATTGACTTTGGCAGTACCAGGGATTCAACCAGTACTGGGGAAACAACAGTATCAGAGGGAGGGTCTTCTAATGATTGGTCACAAGATGTTGTGGCAGTTTCATGACTTAATGCTGTATTAGCAAGAATTTCTAATCCAGATAATGGAGCATCAGTTGTGTTTCCAACAGGTTCTTTTTCAGTAGATGTTTCAGAGGTTCGACCTTCACTGGCAAACTTAAGCTTCTTGTAAACCTCAAAACATGGAGACTCCCCTACAACATTATACCCCTCTTCCATACGTGTTTTATATTTTTTTCTAATTGGTGTTGTTAATGCCTTTTCAAATGCACGCAAAGCACCCTGTGCATCAAGCTCCTCTTGAGAAGACTTTGTCTGCTGTGCTTTTCCTGATTCCTCTACCTCATCATCAGTATGTGTGTACGTAAAACCTGGTTTCAGATCTGAATCCCTTACCTTTGTACTATCTACAGGGTATATTCCTGATGACTTAAAGCTGTTGACAACAGTAAGCGGTTTGTAGAACAGCAAATAGGCCTCTTTCAATTTCTCTGAAAAGGTGTCTTTGCCTATAGCTACACCTGGCTTTTCTCTTGCATGGGCTCTCATAACCTTGTACCAGGACTGTTTCAATGGTCCAAAAACGCCTTTGTCCAATGGCTGCATTAGATGTGTTGCATTCGGTATAATTCTATATAAAAGTATTCCCTTTGACTTTGCCATTTCAAATGCACCCTGGCTGATATGACTACTTACACTGTCGATCAAAAGGACTACAGGCCTGTCTTTGCAAGCATGTTTGTCGAAGTGTTTAAGGAAGTCTTCATAAGCTTCAGAATCCATCCAGCCTTTTTTTGTGAATGCTATACCACTACCTGCTATTCCTCCAGTTAACGCTGAATATCCACGAGGTCTTGGTTCAGGATATACTAAGAATGGCGGAACCATACTCCCATCAGCACAGCCACAAAACATTACAGTAATTCGCTGTTTACTTTGACCCCCAGATACATGAGGTACAGATGTATTTTGAGTGCTTCTCACTGGTCCTATAACCTTTCCTGCCTTGCTTGCTAAATTAAAACCAGTCTCATCTGCATTATATATACACTCTGGCTTATGCAGTAAAGCATTTTCAATCATAAATTTCTTGTAATTGCAATACCATTCATCCATACCTATACGAGTAAGTTTTGCTCTACTGGATTCAAGCGGTTTTTCTGTTCTCATCTCTATAATATGTTTGTTTCTAAACATGAATTTCTTATACCAGTTGTAAGAGGGTCTGTCATTTACAAAAGGAGTTTTTCTTTTTTCTTTCTTAACTGTGTTCTGGACAAAGTCTAAGAATTCACTTGGCTTCAAACCCATACCTCTCTGAGCCATTTCTTGCAACCAATTTGCCATTGCTTCTTCCTCCTTTTTGTTGAACACTGGCGATGGCCCATTTCTGCTGTCAACAGACACATCCCCAAACAATCTCCTTCTTAAATAACTTACAGACAGTGAGTGCGTTTTAGCTGCTTGCCTGATTGAAGCCTTCTTTTCTTGCACATCAATCAATGCACGTCTTGCCCGTAGACACTTTCCTGGTGATAGACTCCCAGTGCCATATTTCTACAAAATATTTTTTGTACATTTTCATTAATAATAAAGTTATAGCCCATGTAAAGTTTTTTTGCCCGAATGACTGACGGACGGACAGTTCAAAGATTATATTTATTTTTAATGATATGCCTTTCTGGTATGACTTCCCTTTTGAAAATTTGATGTTACATACTTTTATGTTAAATCAGTCAGTTAAAAGACCCTCGAGAGCTTTTGTTGTATTGTTTCTCTTGTCTTGTAAAATTTAAATGAAACTTACAATAAGTTTCAAGGTGATACCTTTGATAATGGTAGAGAAAACTACTTGCAATTCAAAACTTAACCAATGCAGATGCTCACGCACATGCAGAGTAAGACAATCAATTGACTTTAACACTGAACTTTTATTCTTCGAAAAGTTGAGCTTATAATCTGTTAATGTCGAAGGCCAGGATAGGTTGTAGTTCAAGAAATATATTACTTTTAAATTATTGTGGATGTAATACCTGTTTTAGTGAATTGGCTGTCTTAACTGCAGGGCTACAAGGCTTTTTCCCACTTTTCTTTGTCTTTCCCATTGTCACTGTATGGTTATTTCCAAGCTGTAATAAACAAATAAGAGAAATATTTTAAATATTATAACCCCATTGTATATAGAATATTTATCTTTACATCAATCAATTGATGACTCAAAACTCTACATTTAGTTTTTCAGGAAGATAAATTAACACTTGATAGCATTCTGTGACTGTATAAGCCTCTTCTAGCAAAATGAGCAACAATTAAGTATTAATGTAGTTCCAACTAATTATATATTTAGAAATAAACATAGAAATGAACAGGAGCCAAACAATTCCACATAAAGCTAAACTGGAAAAAAAATATCAATATTTATACAAAATGTATCAATAATATTCTATAAACTAATTTTATAAATAAATTTATTTCATATAAATAAAATAAATTAGAGAAAAAATGCTATACAGTTTCATTACTACACATTTTAATGTTTTAAAAATCTTGTTTACTCATTTAACTCCATTCTGACACGTCATAAATGTTTTGACACAGCCCCCAACAAACGAAATCAGAATACCGGAAGTGGTCACGCATGTATACTCGCTCGAAACAAGATTTCTACCTTTTTTCGGCATGACCACGATTCAGAGTCAACTCGTCCTCTGGTCAACTCGTCACCTTTTTGGTCAACTCGTCCCCTGGACAACTCGTCCTCTAGTCAACTCGTCCCCAACTCGTCCTTTATATTTTATTACTACTTGTTTTTCATATAGTTCATAAATCATTATAGACTGTTAAAATAATATATTATAAAATTACTGAATTGGACATATTTTGACGCTTTTTGTATGCGATTATTTGGAGTTCCATCTTATAATAAGGATATATATGCATAATTCTGATTAAATTACATACAGAAAAAAAAAACACGAAGACGATTAATCACTTTCACACTTTCATTGTTTTTTTTTCCATGCACATATTTCATTGTCTTTTTTTGGACATCTTACGACTCTACTCTTGAGGCTTGTATAAGTTGCCGAATTCTCTCAAAAGTCCCGTTGAGGATAAATAAATATAATTGACACAATTGATACAATGACCTAAATTATCGTGTTGATTGACGATAAGTGGATACTGTACTGTTTTATGCATGATATAAATTGTTGTTAATTAAATATATCATGACACGTGCCTTTGGTTATTAAAGTATACACATGGTAATTTGATAATAGGATTAACGACACAAATACCTCTGTGGTTGGATACGTTTTTTTTATATATTTAAAGAACGCGTGTCTTTAATTTGAAATTGCGTGAAAATCGTGCCAAAAGTTGTTATCAAAATTTATTTTCCAAATGTCGAATTTGTTTTGATGGTGTATGGTCAAATATATTAAAATGTTGATTATTCGATGCCTTTTATCAGTCATGGTACAGCGATATTAACAATTCTAGAAAACTAGAAGCCTATTGTTTATTTAAACATTCATTCAATCGGGAGAAATATTTAGATACCGTAACGGTTGTAAAATATCGCATAGCATTAACTAAGTTCAGAGTATCAGCACATTCAAACTAGCCATAGAAACTGGGAGATATGATGGTACTCTGAGAGAAAATAGATTATGCAAATGCTGTTCAATGGGAGTTTTAGAATCTGAATATCACTTTCTTCTTGTATGTCCGTTATACAGAGATCTAAGAATGAAAATTCTTTAAAAGATATTTTTGCAGATGGCCAACACTGAAGAAATTTGAAATTTTAATGTCGACAAATGTTAAAAGTAATGTTACCAACTTAGCAAAATATATTTACTTTGCATCAAAGTTACGAAATGACAGGTTATCAAATTTATGATGTGTTAATTGTTGTTATATACTAAATTTCAAATTAAGTCTCGTACATTATTTTTACATTTTTTTTTTTTTTATCGATGAGTAATTAAAATGTCAGCCAAATACGTCATTATGATTGTTTTATTTTTTTTTTCTATGAACAATTGAAATTGAAGTCTCGTACGTTATTGTAATTGTAAATTTCCAACAGTATTCATATACCCTGTGTAAACCATTTCTCATGTATTTATGTTGTTGTTATTGCTATAAACTTTGTAAGTTTAAAGCGGAATAAAGTGTATTGTATTGTATTGTATTGTATAACGTACAAGCAAATGTGTTTTAAGAATAAATCTTATATTTATCAGGGAAAATTTTTTATTGACAATATCCCAACAAACAATTATCATGTTTTTAATTGACACGATCCTTCTATAATGAGATCAATACGCGCCGACATAAAGTTTTTAGCGTTTCTAATTTCTGTTAATCTGTCGTCAGTCTTTAATCCATTCAGGGAGGCGGTAAAAATCAAAGAGTTGGGCCTAATTTTAGTTTTAATTATCATTAAAACTCCGATTAATTAAACATTAATTGAATGTTTGTAAACTTACCTGTCTTTGTAGTTTGACATCAAAGCTATGCACGTGCGCTTAGATAAAGATCATTAAAATTTAACGTAAAAAAGACGTAATTATTTTATTAATATTTCGATATCAATCAAATTCAGTATTTATTTTACATATTTTACATAAAAGAATTATTTAAAGAAATTTTAAAGACAGAGATCGAAAGAAGGGGACGAGTTGACCATATTAGGGACGAGTTGACCAAAAGTAGGGGACGAGTTGACCAAAAAGGTGTCGAGTTGACTAGGGGACGAGTTGACCAGGGGACGAGTTGACCGGATTGCATGACCACCATGTAAAAGTTATATCTCTTGATAGGCTATACATTTTCACATAAAACAATAACAAAGTTTTATAAAATACTTACCTTTTTATGTTTTTAATTCGCGCTAATTAAAAGTCATCAATGATGGCGCCATTACGGCGAGTCTGTTTTCTCAAATGCTTGCTTCTAAAAACCAAGCGCCAAATGAGTTGGAATGTTTACAACGCAGAAAAAAAACTTTCAATTTATGAGAAATAAATTATACTATAAAACCATACCAAAATTTTGTTAATTTTGGCAATATTTTGTCAAATATTTGAACGAAAGTACACGAAGTGTGCCGGAACTGCTCACGGTCCGGAATTGGATCATTGACTGTAATTTAAAAATTTGTAAAATTTTCTTATGAATACTTCAAATATAATATTTTGCTGTGATAGTCTACACTATTGACAAAAACGTTTATGTATGGGCCGTCTTCGGACTGAATGTCTTAAATTCCTATATAATACAGAATCATAATAAAAACAATTTGTACCCGAATGTTCCCTGTCCTATCTTGGCTAATTTCTCATATTTTGTTGCCTCTGGACAGAAAGGAAAGTCAAGTTCTTCAATTTTATGTCTGCTCTGACCTGGTATAGCAGCTTGGCCAGCTATATTTGCTGAAACAGAATGAGTCTGTTGCATTTCTAACTTTTTGGATGTAAAAACGTGCTGAACTTTATACCGGAAGTGTGGAAAACGTCACCAAATTATGTGAATGGTTTTGAACAAATTCTGTAAATTCCGTTCCTTTTCCGAATTACCACGTCACGTGGGTTAACAGCGTACACGTGCGATAATTTTATGATCTTATAAAACTTCCAACAAAAACGAAACTGCCTACAAAACTTATATGTATGTTCCACGGTTTGGCATTCTTGGCAAAAAATATTTAACAAAATAAAACAAGTTCAAAGGTCACCAGCCAGATATGTAATTACACCAGTAGGCCTAGTTAGTGGGGCGGGAAATTGAGAAAATAGTGCAAATTGTGATACAAGCATGAAACTTTCAGGAAATCATCTTTAGACCATGTAGATTTCAAAAGTGAAGTGGGCCCCAAAATATCTTTGCTCATTCAAGATGGCCGCCATTTTCAAAATGGCCGCCATATACATTTGACGTACATACTAGCTCATTCATTCCAATTTTTGGTAGAGACCTTAAACTAACACCAAAAGCATGTATATAGTTTCTCCTTTTCAAAAATTTAAATCTTACAAAATTTCTCTTTCATCCCTCTTCCAAATCCAAGATGGCGTCCAATATGGCCGTCGGTTATGTGCAAAACCGTTATATCATTTTTATAGTATAATTTGTTGCACAAATTATGTTTATTATGATAAAAAGTGTTTAAACATATCAGAGATAATCAAATTATATGTTAATCTCAATAAAAGTAAACATTTTAAAAGTTTTTGTCTTAGAAATATCTTTAAGAAAGATCAAGAAAAAAATCCATTTTTTTTTCAAATTTTTCAAATTTGATTTCCTTAATTAATGTACAAAGTTAAAAAAGTTACTTTATATCTTAAACTGTATTTTGACATTCCATTAATATCATGTGTTTATTGTAAAAAATGTAAGAAAAACATTAAATCTGTAGGTTTTATATTTTGTGAAAGTGGGTGGGGTAATTTTATACGGTAATTATTGTAAAAGAAAAAACAACAGAAAATAAACATAGCTACGTTCATTCTATTTCTTTGCCTTTTTGCTTTTCTATGAATTCTTATGCAAATGTTCCAACTTAAAAAGTAGTTTTTATTGGATGAAAGTATTTTTGTCTTCCTTTGGGCCAAGTGGCTAAGCAAGAAATGCAGATACAAACATGTGTATACATTTAGTTATTAAATTTGGTGGCATGATAATTTTTGTTTCAATATATTTGATATATATTAATTGTTTATTGTAAAGACATATAAGAAGACAATAAATCAACTAAACGTGCTTAAAATAGGAAGCATGTACATGAATGTAAGGTATAAAGGTAGTCCATAAACGCATATTTTTAACTCCTTCACAATTTTATATTTATAATATAAACATGGCTTAAAAGCCAACAAAATGTATATGATTTGTAACAGATATATCAATGATATGACCTAGCCTGCATGCAGTTTTTTGAAAAGTTAAGATACAAAGTAAGTGTGTTTCCTAAAGTAATTATATCTCCTTTTTTCTTTCAATAAGAGGTCAATCATGACCCTGGATCACTCACCAAAGATCATTCTTGGAAAAAAGGTAACAAGATCATTTTGGGAGTGTCAATTATGTCATAACACAGATGATTTGTGTCATAATTGAATCCGGTTGCGTTTAAAGAAAACATGCTCAATATCTAGTTTCAATTGTTTTCACACGAGAGGACTTTAATAACCATATTCATATATGAATCCATATAAACTTAGTAAATTTTGACCATGCTGACCATGATATATCAAATATTTGTAGAGTATAACACAATTATGATGATACATGATTAATGTCTATGCGTCGGATACTGTTGGTTAGGAGAAAACAGATTTAATACATTAGTCTTTGTAAATTAAGTGATACTCATTGCAAAACCATTTTAGGCTCTAGTGGCATTATACAAATGTATGCATGTTATATCAGGCTACATCCCAAGTATCTAAGTTAAAGTCATTGCAGTTTAACACTTGATGTTTTAATGTGTGTTCCTATACAAGTATGTGAACCCAAGTGGCTCTATGGGCATAATACATTAAATATATGTTAATAAAGACGCAAGGTGGTGCTACATGCTTAGTACCTGTGCTCTGTGCATTTTGATTTTTGAGAAGATTTTTACACTTAATGATCCAAAAGTGTTTTATGTAACTTTAAAAGAGGTCTTCTTTACTTGGCAAGGCTATATGGTGACTATCCAAGCTCTAGGCATTGTAGTTTCTTTGTTCGTGATTTTGTTTGAATTTGAACAACAACAAAAGAACTTAAACAAGCAAATTCGTTGAATTTATATCCCCCGCCGAGTACTGGTGATTATTAACACAACAACTGAAGACATAAGGCTATGCAACAGACCAGAACCATTTGATCAACTTTGGCAGGGGACCACCCTAGGATCATTCCTGTAAAGTTTGGTTGCTGTGCAGTCATTTGTTTCTGAGGAGATGTTGTTTAAAGAAATTGCTGACGACGCATGACGACGGACGGTGGGGGATCACAATAGCTCACCTAGATGTAAAAACATCTTAATCTCCAGACTTCATTATTCGTAATTTAGTGATGTTGATCATTATTCCTGTAAAGTTGGTTGATTCTAACTCAAGCACTCAAGGATCAAATAACAACATAATGAAACAGTTTTTACTAAGTCAAGGGAAATAACTCTACAAATACTGGATAAATCCACAAGCGAAACCCCAGGAACAAACTAAATATGCTGAGCAACTTTCCAATAAGGTTAAATGACTCTATGTCAAATCCTTTTGAGTTACATGCGACACATGTTGAAAATTGCAAACATTTTCTAAGTCAAGGGCAATAACTCTAAAAATACTAAATAAATCCAGACGAAAATACCCAGGTGCACAACTACACATGCTGATCAACATTCCTGTAAAGTATCATGACTTTAGGTCAAATACTTTTTAAGTTACATGTGACACAAGTTGAAAATTGCAAAATTTTACTAAGTCAAGGGCAATAACTCTAAAAATAGTAATAATATCCGGACGAAAATACCCAGGTGCACAACTACACATACTGATCAACATTCCTGTAAAGTTTCATGACTCTAGGTCAAACACTTTTTGAGTTACATGCGACACAAGTTGAAAATTACAAAATTTTACTAAGTCAAGGGCAATAACTCTAAAAATGCTAAAAATATCCAGATGAAAATACCCAGGTACACAACTACACATACTGATCAACATTCCTGTAAAGTTTCATGACTCTAGGTCAAATACTTTTTGAGTTACATGCGACACAAGTTGAAAATTACAAAATTTTACTAAGTCAAGGGCAATAACTCTAAAAATACTAAAAATATCCAGAAGAAAATACCCAGGTGCACAACTTCACATGCTGATGAACATTCCCATAAAGTTTCGTTGAATTCCAGCCATTAGTTGCAGAGAACTACTCCGGAAACGAAATTCGGATGTTTTATTAAGTCAAGGGCAATAACTCTAAAAATACTTAAATTATCCAGACGAAAATACCCAGGTGCACAACTTCACATGCTGATCAACATTCCCATAAAGTTTCGTTGAATTCCAGCCATTAGTTGCAGAGAACTACTCCGGAAACGAAATTCGGACGGACGGATGGACGGACGGACGGACGGACGGACGGACAACGCCAAAACTATATCCCCCTCCCGATTCCATCGGCGGGGGATAATAAGATTCCCTACACAGGTTCTTAAAACTGGGTTCCTCGTGAGGGCCTTTAAATCATGCTCCTGCAGTCCAAAATGACTTTACTTGTCACTTTGTTTACATTTACTTATATAATAAAATTCTTCTCTGAAACTACAGTGTACAGAGAATAAAATATATCGTATACCATCACATTGTGATGCTATATAAAGATTATGAACTATTTTGGCGTATGGTCAAAATCACTTAGTTTACATGGACTCTTATTGGAATATAGTTATATGAGTCTTTTTGTAGTTCTGAGAGCCTAGTTATTGGGCATGTTTCTTTTCAAATAGTATATAAATCTGTATTTGGTGAAAAAAGATACTCCTTATATGATTTTAGCATTCTTCAGTATTAAAGAATTATAGACCTTAAAATTCCAGCAGTGGATCTTAGGCGAGTGATCTTGGGTCAACTATTCTTTATTGTTTAATGGGGTTAAAATAAAGTATGAATAAATTTAGTTTATATTCCAAATCATAAGATATGTTATGTGGGTCAAGCGGTTTATTGATACCTTTTTTAGCACACATAGATAATATGATGTATCAGTCGCCTTAATTTTTGTTTCTTTTGAAAATATCATGTCTACATAAGTTATAAGAAATGGACAGTACTTACTCAATTGTACTTGGTTACAAAGATGTGCAAGTAAATATAACTTTGAATCATTCTGTTACAAGCTTTTAGCAAGACTTAATTGTCCAGGAAATAATTTTATTCATAAATAGACAACATTTCACTCAGGTCCAGGCATGATTTTATCTAACATATGGTTCGTTGATGAATATTCAGTCTTCTTTCTGTACAATTATCAAATTATATTAAGAATATTGAAACAACTTATATCATGCAAACACATTTAAAATTAAACTGAATGTATACATATGATTGTGTCTGCATTTATTGATATTTTAACCTGAAGGAAGACAAAAATACCTTAATACAATGAAATACTTTGACAGTGAATATTTGCATAAGAATTCAGAAAAGACGTTATTTTGTACTACAATTGTCTGATAAATTTACCCCACCCACTTTGAATAAGTATAAAACCTTCACATTTTTTTGTTTTTGTTACAATTTTAAATAAAACATAGTGTTGATTCATTATCAAATACACTTTAAGAAACTTTGTAAGTTTTGGAATTTTGTACATAGACCTAGAAAACCATGTTAGAGAAAAATGCAAAAAGTGGCACTTTTTCTTTGATATTGTGAAAGATTTTTTGTACAAAAAACTAAAAACATGACTAACAATGTGGTTAACCTAAAATTTGATTTTTGTTCTAATATGTTGAACAATTTTGT